CATAATCTTAATGATCCACTATCATCACCAGATATTAATACAGGTAATTTACCAACCATAAGGATAGATGTTAACATTGATGTATGTCCTGTCATTTTACCTATTTAAGTTACATCATGATATTTTGGATTAATATCATATACATTTATATAAGTAGAATATCCACATGTAATGAATACTTAATAGTAATAAGAATAAACTAAACTATGAATACCACCATAATCTTTTAGTGATAATGTAATTTTGATTTCTCCATTTTAGATATCCCATAAGGCTACTTATTTATCTAATGAGGCAGTTGCAATCATTTTCATATGAACTACTTCTACACATTCAATTATATTTCCCTAAATACATTTATTTTAAAATATTAGATTTGCTGATTCATTTAATAAATCCCAAAAGTATAATCTAAAAGTACTATCTGTTGTAACCCATTAATTTTAATTCTCTAAAAACCATATATTAGTTTAATATTCTTATGATGCCATAACTGTAGAAAATATTCGATATTTTTTAAAATCACCTTCATACATACAAATAGAATGTGATTTTAAAGTTAATCCAATCTTAATATATAATATTAATTATTACTCTTTATTATCTATCAGACCAAGCAAAACTCAATATAATTGTTTCTTTATCTTCATGTTAAGATATCTTAACCATTTATTTTAATGAACCATCTACATGATATATATTTATCTTTGAATCTAAACTATCAAGTGTTATAATTTGTTTATTGCAATATACACCAGTATGAACAATACCATTATGATGTCTGATTGAATCATTTTATAATGAATTTGGTACTATATGAAATATTTCATTATCACTACTACCAATAATTTTGGCTGATTCCTAGAATTATCAAATTTATAACTTACCACATCAATTTCTCTAATTCTTGTTTTGTTCAAGTTAAATTTCTTTGGATCTGATATTAAACGTTAAGGTACCATAGTATTTTCACTTGTATCTACTTAACATACATAACTTGTAACATCTTATAAGCTGAGTTCATTCTATTAACTTATTGCTACAACATCTTTATATAATTCAATCAATCCCATCACTAAATATAAAAGTTCACTTTATTTATGATGAACTATAGGAATCATTAATTTTATAAATTCAACCATATTTAATCTTTTTGGAGGCCATTGTCTTTCCATCACTAATAATTCCTCTCTTTCAATTAATTCCAGTATCTGAGATTTCTTAGATAATTTGAAGTCTGTGTTCTCAAAATCTAACATGCTTGCAAGCACTTATTCAATTATCTAATTTACAGACATATTGTTATTTATATATAATTATATATCAACATAATATAATATCCATTATATCTCAGAATTATATTTAACCATTACTAAGATTGAATTTACTAGGATCAAAAGGTTAACCTTTAAATGGACTACCTTCAGCATTCCAAGCTTTCTTTACTATTTCTAATTATTATTCCTCTTCTGAAGTTGGTAATCCTTATTATTTCCTTTGTTAATCATACATTATCTTTCTAATTGCCCCTTAAGTTTCAGAATCAAAATCATCTAATGGTTTTGTATTCTCAACTTTTGTTGCATCTATCTCTTTATCTCCTAAAATAACAGTTTTCCAAATATTCTCTTACCCTTTCTCTAATGTGATAGTCAATAGATTCTCTTCTATAGACCATATAGATTCATCACTTTTTACTTTATCATATAATTTTCCATCCACAACTACATTATCCTTCACTTTAACTGTTAATGTATTTGCAGTTATAATTACCTTTAACTAAATAATTATTCTTATATAATATATACATTTTTTTTATTAGATCCCTCTGGAACTTTCATTGTTACAACAACATCATTACTAGATTAACTCCAAGAATATTTTTCTGTCTCTCCTCCATTATAAGTATTTATATATGGATCTATTTTTTGTTTTTAAGTTAAATTTTCATTGTTTTATTAATTTTGCTCTTATTTTATCTACACATCCTATTAACTTTAATTCTCATTTTATTGAACCTACTTTTATTATTATTATTAAATTTAAATCTCTTTTTTTAACTCTTCTTATTCTTTTTTTTTCTCTTATAATTCCTTCTACTTTTTTTAATATATTTCTAATTTCTCTTTATATTCTTAAGCAGATTTCTTTTTATGTACTTTATAATGTTCATCTTAATATTTTTTAAATGTATTTCCTAACATATTCAATGCAACTCCAGGTGGAAATCCCATCTTATCTCCAGGATCACCTAAAAATGATTTTATTATACAATACATTCATAATAATAATCTGTTCTTCTCAATAGAAAACTGAATAATGAATTTAATAATCCTTCAATTCCTCCAGTCTCTTTTGCAATTAAAAAGAAATGTTCATCAAATCTATCCACCATTAAAATTGAGAATTTATTTTATTATTCAAATATTTATTATAATAATTATGTATAATATAAATCTAAATTCAATACAAATTATAAACTATTAATCAATATAGAAGAATACATAATTAGTATCATATAAATATCAATGAATATTTTCTTATTAATAAATAATATTTTTTTATATAGATTATCATTAATGACATTCAAAAATCATAATAATATATTAATTAGAGAGAAGATAAAAAAATTATTAACTAATTGATAAAAAACTTAAATAAGAAAGAGCATTTCATACATACATTACAACACATTTATTCAATATTATTGTAATTGTGAAGTAATTATATATTATCATCAATATTGGTTGTTGTTGTAATAGATGTTAACGAATTAATAATAATTTAAATAGTTGGATATCTGAAGAATGATTTAAATTGTTATTGTTACAATTTTCAATCTAAGATTCTCTCTTATAATTTTTCTAAATTTACAAACAGAAACAGAAGTGTAAATATAAATAGAATTTAATTAAAAGGAGAAGCTAAATTTAATTTTATAAGAAATTATTGTTTGTAATAAAATTAATTATAAAATATTTTGATTAAGGAAATGATTTACATAATCTATATGATGATATTGTAGATAGTCGCAAAAGACCTTAGTGAATCTGAATTTGTAGATATCCTATTGAATTCAACCTATAAAGCAGAATTTTTAATTCGTATTAGTGACGTTAAATTTTTTTTCTATTAAAGAATAACTTTGATTATGAATATCGAAGCATTGCTTAATTTAAATTTATTCCTAGAAAAGATGTGCCATAAAATGTTAGTGTCTGGAGATAAATAGGTTCTATTGAAATAAATTTTCTCCATCTTATTTATATTGAAGGGAAAAAAGTGAATTTGGGATAGGTTAATATCGCTTTAGAGGATGAACCGTTTGATATGAATTATAGTTAAAGGTAATTATAATTACAATAATTTAGGTATAGGGTGTGGAACGGAACCACAAATTTTGTATAATAAAATTAATATGAATAAAATTTAGGATACTCCGAAATCACTTGTTAGATTGATTATGAAATATATTCTTTCTATGGCATAAATTCTTGTAAATTATTATTTATGACAAGAATAGTTTCTGAAATTTATTATGAGAGAGAAGAGATACAAACTTGTATTCAGATAATGAACAAAGAAATGAATGATTCGAAATGCAATTTTTTTAATACTTTAATCTTAGAGCATTCTGTAGAAGTATTATAAAAAGTTCATGCAAAATTAAACCCAGAAATTTAAGCTCCCATTACCCTCCCAGATTAATAATAATAATCTTTTTCAAAAGATTCAATGTTTGTAAGAATAGGTACAATATCTTTTATTTTATTTTTTCAAAAAATATTAAATAAATTGGAATAACTAATAATTTCGTTAATAAGTAATTATACGTATAAGTTTTAGATTTCAATTGTCAGTTTTTAGTATGTGAAATATTATGACTACTACTAAGTTGTTCTTTGTTCAAATATTTATTACAAGTTGGTAAATTTATATATTAGAAATAAAGGATTTATTCTCCTCTTTGTTGTTTATCTTGGTTACGGGATCAATTTATGACTTAAATCATAAGATGTTTCTTTAAATATTTGAAGAATAATTAATAGACTAACAAAAATATAGAAAAATTAGAATAATAGCCTAAATTTTTTTCCTTAGTTGTATCATATGTATTTTTATAATTTAGATTTCTTAAGTTTCTATTTTTTTCCCCTATTGGAAGAGTATGATAGTGGTTATTCATCGTTATTGACAATCGGTTTCATTCTGATTCCTTAAATAATACATAATTTTGGATTAAGAACTAATCCAATATTCATACCAAAATAAATATTTGGGTTTTTGTTTATAAAAATTGCACCTTATGTATAATAATTTAATAGTTTAAGTTATATTCATTAGGACACTTAAATAACATTAGTTAAAGACACAATTATTATATTGTTATTCCCTTTTCTGTGATCTTTGGGGAATAAATTTAATATTTATTTGATGTAGCGGATTCTTTTAAAATAATCCAAAAAGGTACATTATCAAAAAAATATCATTATTATTATAAAAATAAATCCTAAGAATCTGAGGAATGTGCAATTTGCCTGTTAAATTTAAAAAATGAACCTGATTACTAAGACGAAGATTAAGAGTTTTTGTTGGAAAGTAAAATATAAATAATTATTACCCCATGTGGACATAAATTTCATTTTACTTGTCTAATAATCTGGAATAAACTATAATTAACTTGCCCTTATTGTCGGAATATAATACCTCCAATTATTTAGTGAAATGATACATTATTAAATTTATTTTTGGTTTTGATTATTTTAGATTACATAATTTTTTATATTCTAGAGATTTAAAAGATATTTAAACTATGTTAATAATTTAATTAATTAAATTATAATGAAAAATCAAAGATTGTATTAAATATTTTATATATTGAAATAAATTATATTTATTTATAAAATATGTTGTATTTTTATATATAATAAGACTAATAATAATTTTTATATATTTAAAATTATTTAATATAAATGATTTTCAAAAGGGAGACTCATACCTCAAGCAGAACTTTAGGATACCATTACTAAATTTGCCATTCCAGCTGTGATTAAATTCATAGATAATTTAGCTTTTTCTTTTTTGACTGTTTTTAATTAAAGGGAAACTTTTTCAAGTTCATCATTTTTATTTTGTAAAGCTTATTACAAATCATTTATAGTTTATTCATAATCTTGATTTATAGTATTGAGTTTTATTGATTAATTTTATGAAAGAATGTCATATTCTTAATTCTTTTTTTGTAATTATAATTATAATTCGTTAATTTCTTATTGTTTTTATTTAAGACCAGTTTCATAATCTCTGATACCCAATTAACATGCTTATAATTATATTAGTTATTATTAAAGCATTGTGTTTTTAATTTTTAATGCTTCTACTTAAGTTTCTTTTTCTGTAATTGTCACACATTTACTATCTAATTCCAAAACTAATTGTTTATATTCATATTAATCTTTAACATTAATCTAATTATATATAAATATATATTACTTTTATTGGAGATGATTATTAATTAGTAAATTTTGATCTTTCATTTGATTATTCTAATGATTTGATTTTATTTTATAAATCTCTTATTAATATTTATGATGATTATTCATTTTTTATATATTAATTTATTTTTTATTCCAATTCTTAAATACATTATTTTTAGACAATCATTTTAGAATTGTATTCATCATTTTCTTTAAGTTATTATTATAATATAGTATTAATTTGGTCTTATTATTCTTTAATTGTAATTTCAAATGTTTTGTTAATATTTTTGATTTATTCTAAATTTTAATTAGTTTAATTAAGTTCATCTTGTTTGTACTCTAATTACTTTTCTAAGATATCAATATCATTTTAAAATTTAGAATTGATTTATTATTATTCAAGATATTGTTTTACTTAATTTTTCCATTATGTAATTTCTTCATTTAATTCAATATTTTAATTCAAAAGTAATTTATTTTATTCCATAAGATTGGTATTTTCTTAAGAAAGAATAATCACTTTCTATTCTAATTTTGATAATTTCTCACTATACTATTCAATAACAATATCTTATTCCTTCATCAAAGTTTCTATAAGTGCTTCATAATTCTTTTATGGAGGAACAGCTTTACTCCATTATTAACTGTTTGAAACACTTGAACTTGCAATACTTTTGGATGAACGAAAAGGTTCAACACAACTTGCAAATACACTTTATTACAATTGTACAGTTTTAGGAGCAACGTTTTTGAATTCTAAGACAACGCTAGATTATGGTTGAATATATGTTGTTTTATGATGTCTGAGAGGACTCTCTTAAGTTTTAATTTCTCTTAATGAATCAAGTTTAGCTATCAGGCATGAGGCATCTCTATATTTATAGATTATGTTATACTTATTGAAAGATGTTGACTCCTCAACTTTTGATTTAAATATTGAAGGTCTAATTGTGGTCATTGATTTATTAGCTTATCTTAATGGAACTAAAGGGATCGATTATAATGCCTATTTTTGTATCTAAGTGATGTTTGATTGCTACGACATCAAAGTAGGTTCTTATATAGTTAGAATGATTTACAAATGATTTAAGATTGATAAGAGTTTTCAACAGGCTTGGTAACATTTGTTTTCATATTTTTATTTATCAGTTGATTTTCTACAATAATAGCAATAAATTTAAATATCCGCGAATAGAATAACAACCCCATTAAATATTTAGAATTTATTTATGTCAAAAATTTCTATTTCAATAGATAAACATAAAGACCTTTCAAAATATATTCTGTTCTTTTCAAGTCAGTGCTGTTTCAATAAAAATTCATCTATAAAATTAATTTACAAAATATTATGAATTTCTAAATTAGATAAACATCACCTCCATCAATATTCATTTGAAAATTAGTATTGAATAAACGATTCAAAGAAATATAATAGATACCATTACTATAGAAATCTTATAACAAAAGACTTAAATAATAAGTAAACATAATAATAGATGAAATGTTTTCACAAGTTTATTTTTAATTTTTGAATCATTTTAAACTGAAACAATATAAATGTTAAATGTTTTATTATATTAGATAATGAATTAATAGAAAAAATAAAATCCAAACATTATTAATTAATAGCATATGTATTGATTATATAATCTTTAAGAATACTACTCATCCTATTAAAAATAAAGAAGTAACTTAAATAATTGAAGTGAATTAGAAGTAATTATTCAAGATCTTGATAAGAATGATTATCATATAATTAATTAATGAGTTAATCAATGTTTTGAATTTTATTTAAGAATTTAGATCAAAGAAAATCTATATAAATTTAATAGTAATATAATAAGAATTATTATTTCAAATTAATAATTCATTCATACATCATTTCTTAATCTATAATGATGTCATCTTAATTGATACTGGATCATAATCCTAAACAAATAAAGTGTCTCCTATTCTTAGTTTTTTTCTATTCTCTTTATTTATTNAACGAAAAGGTTCAACACAACTTGCAAATACACTTTATTACAATTGTACAGTTTTAGGAGCAACGTTTTTGAATTCTAAGACAACGCTAGATTATGGTTGAATATATGTTGTTTTATGATGTCTGAGAGGACTCTCTTAAGTTTTAATTTCTCTTAATGAATCAAGTTTAGCTATCAGGCATGAGGCATCTCTATATTTATAGATTATGTTATACTTATTGAAAGATGTTGACTCCTCAACTTTTGATTTAAATATTGAAGGTCTAATTGTGGTCATTGATTTATTAGCTTATCTTAATGGAACTAAAGGGATCGATTATAATGCCTATTTTTGTATCTAAGTGATGTTTGATTGCTACGACATCAAAGTAGGTTCTTATATAGTTAGAATGATTTACAAATGATTTAAGATTGATAAGAGTTTTCAACAGGCTTGGTAACATTTGTTTTCATATTTTTATTTATCAGTTGATTTTCTACAATAATAGCAATAAATTTAAATATCCGCGAATAGAATAACAACCCCATTAAATATTTAGAATTTATTTATGTCAAAAATTTCTATTTCAATAGATAAACATAAAGACCTTTCAAAATATATTCTGTTCTTTTCAAGTCAGTGCTGTTTCAATAAAAATTCATCTATAAAATTAATTTACAAAATATTATGAATTTCTAAATTAGATAAACATCACCTCCATCAATATTCATTTGAAAATTAGTATTGAATAAACGATTCAAAGAAATATAATAGATACCATTACTATAGAAATCTTATAACAAAAGACTTAAATAATAAGTAAACATAATAATAGATGAAATGTTTTCACAAGTTTATTTTTAATTTTTGAATCATTTTAAACTGAAACAATATAAATGTTAAATGTTTTATTATATTAGATAATGAATTAATAGAAAAAATAAAATCCAAACATTATTAATTAATAGCATATGTATTGATTATATAATCTTTAAGAATACTACTCATCCTATTAAAAATAAAGAAGTAACTTAAATAATTGAAGTGAATTAGAAGTAATTATTCAAGATCTTGATAAGAATGATTATCATATAATTAATTAATGAGTTAATCAATGTTTTGAATTTTATTTAAGAATTTAGATCAAAGAAAATCTATATAAATTTAATAGTAATATAATAAGAATTATTATTTCAAATTAATAATTCATTCATACATCATTTCTTAATCTATAATGATGTCATCTTAATTGATACTGGATCATAATCCTAAACAAATAAAGTGTCTCCTATTCTTAGTTTTTTTCTATTCTCTTTATTTATTATAATAAATCTACATTAATTATTAATTATAACCCTACAGAACATACATCAATTGGTTGTACTCTCCAATCACTTGTTGTACAACAAGCACATTTATGTATCATAATTTCTGTTCTTCCATATATTTTATCTTAATCATTACCATCTATCATCCAATATTATCATATTTTAACATGTGTTTAATTTATATGTATTTGCAGGTGCAGGTCCTTAGTTCTTTAAACATTAAGCTGTAGGATCATTTCTATGCTAATATTGAATCTATCTAATAAATACTTTTCCATCTCCAGAATATCCAAATGTACTAATTGATGAAATCACTACTACTTCCAAAGAACCTTCCAGCATTAATAATATAATAAAATGTCATTGGTGATCTAATTGGTCAGCTTCAGAAATGACAACAAATAAAAGAGTAAGAAAATATTTCATAAATAATTGATAAATAATTGTCAAATATTATAACAATTACATCATTCTTCTTATGCATAATAAGAGTAATCTTCCAAGAATTAAACATCTTCACCTAATGGATCTTTATTCTCAATTATTATAGTATCTCCAACTCTTAATTTCTTTCTATTTGCTTCATTTATAATGACGCATCTATATGATGTAATCAAATATTTATTTACCCTGCAGAACATCCATCAACAGGTGGTTCAGTCCAATCTCCATTAGTACAACATTAACAACCATGAATAAAGATTTCACTTCTTCCACACATTTTAGATTCATCTAATGGCTCAATCCAAAATGAACAAGGTCTGTCAACAGGGGGATTATGCATTGTATTTTTGCATAAAGTAATTTTATAAGTAGTTGCTGGAGCAGGACCTTTGTTCTTTATACATTATGATGCTGGATCATTTCTATACTACATTATCAAATGATATTTAATACTTGACCAGAACCTGAATATCCAAATGTTTTAATTGCAGAGTCTCCACTGCCTCCAACAAATCGACCTGTATTAATATAATAATGGTATGTCATTGCTGCTCTTGTCTTTAAATCTTAGCAACACGATTATCCACAAGATCCAGCTAATGTAGCTGCAACTAAACAAAGAATGATATAAAATTTCATTTATTTATTAATTGAGTCTAAAACATAATAAATATATCTAATAAATGGAGAAAATTGTGAATATTATAATTAATTTCAAGTTATAGTTAATTAGAGTTTCATAATTTATAATTAGATTCTAGGGGAGTTAAGACTAGAGAGATTTTTAAGGTCTTTAAGATCTAATGTTAGATTCAATTGTAAAATCTTTTCTTAGAATATTTATTCAATTAGTAATTTTTAAATTCTTCATCTATTTATTCTTCTTTCATTGATTCAGAGCTCTATAAGATTATTATTGTTTTTATTATTAAGTATGAGATTTATTAATGAAGTTTAAGAATATAATAAATCTTCTTTGATCATATTCATTAGCTTAAATCATCCTGCAAAATAGTGAATTTTTTATTTTCTTCAGGATAATCATTATCATTACTATTTTTAACTAAGTTTAAGAAATGCACACAGTTATTTATACTTAAATATATCAAAAATGTGGCTAAATTAAATTTCTATGATCTAAATATATATTTAATAGTTTCTCTTTATAAATATTTTTGAGAATACCATATTTATTTTAGATAATCATTGAATTTTTTGTCTCTGTTAAGGTATATTAAGCATTTGGATAAAAATAAATATAATTATAATTATGAAGAACATCTCTATTGATTATTAATGTATTTAATATAAAACCAATAATTAATTTGAAATATATGAGTTAATTTAGCATTATTCGATAGGGTTATAATATAACTTAAATACATAAGGAGGCTATTTATGATGTATTCTCAAGAAGTTAGAAATAGAAAGTATTTGTCAATTAGGCAGAATTTATACGAAATCAATTGAATCAACTTTTTGGCCCTTAATGGGTTGTATTTATATGGGAAATTGGATTAAATTATAATTATTCATATTTTAACAAGGAGGAATATGTTTTTGAATTTGAATGTGAGAATAAAAGATGTCTAATTTTGAAATGGAATTTTGTTCAATCAGATTATAAACCTTTAGAGTATATATTTTAATAATTTAATTTAAGAGTGAAATATTTAAGTAAAATGATGTGATTTTGGAATTAATTATATCTAAAAATGCTACTACTATACTAAATCATTAAAAATAAGGATCTTCTAATAACTAACTTGCATTTGGTCTTTTATTTGTGTCTCTAGTTAACATTTTAAGAATTAAGCTTTTTGCTAGTCCATCATATTTCATTTTAATTCTAATATTAACTAATAATATCTTACTCTTTTGTTTCTATCTAATTAAATAGTTCTAACATTATTTCACTTTAAAATGGCAATCTCAATTCAACTATACAATAAAGAACAACTCCTAAACTCCAAATATCTGCTAAATAGCCACTATATCCTGGAATATCACTCTTTTTATTTTCTCTTAAACATTCAGGAGCAACAAATTAAAAAGTGCCTTCAGTTCCTTTGACTCTATCATTTTATGGAGTCAATTATTGAGCTTACCCAAAATCACATATTTTAATTTGATGATTTTTAGTTAATAGTATATTGTGTGGTTTAATATCTCTATGTGCAACATATTATTATTATAGATATTGTAATCCTTTTAACATTTATTTAACATAATCTTTGAATGTGAGTTCATCAAATTTCCATGAGGATGTGAATATTTCTTATTTACTTTCCCATTTCAAAATTTATCCCATTTCTGCATATTCTAAAACTACATATAATTTCTCTCTTTCATCATCATCATAAATCTCATGCAGTTTAATTATATTTGGATGATCCAATTTTTAATGAATTTCTATTTCTCTATATACTTCTTCTAAAAATGAGACATATTTTGTTGCTAAAAATAATACTATAATTATTATTACTTCCATTAGGATTCTTGTACATTTTATTCTTCTTTTTCAAAATAAACTTATTAAACTTTTTTATTGCATATTCATGATTATCCTTAATTGCTAATTTTATTTTTCCATATGATCCTTCACCAATTATTTTCATAATCTTATAACCATTTATGATTTTCTTTTTCTTAAAATTAATCATGTTATTGTCTTACATCATTGGGATCTCTTTAATAAACAATTTCTTTGCCCTTGAATATTTTACATTGCTAATTCATTAAAATTAAATATATTAATCAAAACAAGATCTTTCTAGAAATTATATCGAATATAATTATTAATAAGTTATAACAATTTCAAAATTTATAATTGTATTTTTATAATAGTATTATTTTTATGGCACATCAAAAACACTTAATTAAATTAAACAATTACCAAAATTTTTCATTTGTATTATTTTTAGTAAAAAAATATTATGATTTGCTGTTTTCATTAAATAGAAAAAATCTACATTTATTAATTAGGAATATATAAAAAAATAAATAAAATTATGTAAGTTATTTTAATCAAAATAAGAAATAAAATTATATTAAAAATCTTTATTCTATATAAAATCAATCAATTAAAATCATACAATTTCAATAATCATTTTTATATAGTCAAACTCAATTAATGTATTTAATTTTTTATATTAAGTCTTATCTTTATATTTAGTAAAATATTATACCAAAATTAATTTTATTAGAAATAACTGTTTAGTTAAAATAAATGGATAATGTTAACTAAATATTCAAATATTTAGTTATAGAAAGAATTTAATTAAAACTTTTTAAATTATATAGTTAAAATTTAGACCAAGAAATTTTGAATTATGTATTAAAGAAATTCATGAAATTAAAAATTGATATTTTTATTTTATGAATACAAAATTGATTTAAGAATTCATTATTTGATTTTATATTCTAACTTTTATTTACATTAATGAAGTTCATTTTCTAAATAATTGTTCTATTCAAGTAATTAATTTCTTTCCAGATTCAATAATTCACATTTTGACTTTTATAAAGAAATTTATTCTAAAATAAATTATTAATTCTCACCTTCCAATTGAGAAAGTCTTAATTCAAAAACATCTTTAATATCATGCTGAGGTACTGTAATATAATGATTAATTATTTATTTCAAAGGGTTTATAGAGATTTAGAAATCTATCTTTAATTGAAATAGGCTTTGTTTTAATGACAGGTTTTCTAATTTAAATTATTGCAATTATTCTAACAATTTGCTATAATTGTTCATTTATAAATATTTATATTGAATAATCTAATATATATAAGTTAAAAATATACATCTAATGAATTTACTCTATTTTACTTAAGTATTTTATTTTCCTTAGTTAGATAATCAACTTTATTTGTGAGTTCTATTATTTATTATTGTAAATTTTGGATAAGAGATTTATCAGATTACAGGTATGGTACTGATTTTTAGTATTTATCTACTTTTTAATTTTTACAAAATTATGAGAGTATTAACTAATACATAGTAGGGGAATGTTCAATATTTTTGCATGATTAAAGTGATGATTATTTTGATGAAGCAGCTAATCATAGAAAATATAAATTACTTGATGGAATATTAAGTATTCTGTTATTGGACATAATTATTTATATTGATGTAAAATTAATAATATTTTTATAATAGATTTGGATATTTGATATAAGTAAAAAAATGGTATAAAAATTATAGAATCTATATTTAATTATAAAATCACAAAGTAATATTTAAATAACTATTATTATTAGAATTCAATAAAATAATAATTGTCAATTAGTAAAAGGAAATATAATGGGTTATATATATTATAATTTTTTATAATTAATTTTAATCAGTTAAGGAAAAATGAGTTTCTTAGAAAGTTATGACTTTCTACTTACGATTCGGCATTTAGAACTAGGATAAATTGATATTTGGAAATAAAAAGATAATGGATAATTGGCATATTGTAAAATATTACAATCAGATATTTCTAAATAAGAATTGCATGAAAGATCAAATTGGGAACATGAAAATGTAATCGAATTATTAGCTGCTGAATTACATAAATAAAACAATAATAGCTATATATCAATATATTATGAATTTTATGATTCAACTTTATAAGATTACTTAATCAATCAGGAATTACCTATTGCTGAGACTGAAATTTGGAATCTATTTTATTAGATTTTATAAGGAGTAATGTTTATAAAATCTAAAAATTAAACTTCAAATTTATGTACTACTTGTATTTTCTATAATAATGGATAGATTAAAATAATGGAAGGACAATCTTATAATATGTAATAGTAATTAGGTTTAGTGTTATTTGAATTATGCACAAGAGAATCATAATATTTAATATTAGAAGATAATAAAACAATAAATATGAATAATTTAAATTACATGATGAATGAATGTAAGTACAGTAAATTATTAATACAAAAAATATTTGACCTTGTAAATTCAAAAGATACAGATTAAATTTAAATAATATATGTAAGAACTCAAAATCTAATTAGAATTAATTGTCTCCATATAAAGATAATATATTATAACTAAAACCATTCAATTTTTCGATTACTATTAATACATCATTAACAGATAGAGCAAATAAAGCAATTAGAAATTACAAAGAAGTATTAAAAAGAGTCAATTATATGTATCAATTAGCTTTATGACTATATACGCATATAATACAAATTCATTTATACTATTTTGAATCCTCAATATCTTTATCTGTAATAATACCTTTTTCCTATAATTTTTGGAATAATAATTCCTTCATTTCCCCATCAATTTCATTCTAATGACCTATTATATAATTAAATATATGTTCTTAACAATTTTAAGGTAAGTATTCAAATATCTAAATAATATAAAATTAGAATACATCAAAAATACAATAAAACATAAAACATGCATCAAACCATTCACATTTATCTGTAATTTCTTAAATTTCTAATCCAAATTGATTCCATAATTCTTAAGATTTACAATGCATTTATGCCATCTTTTGATACAAAAATGCTTTATCACCTAAATTAAATTAATCTTTAGTTCTCAAGAATTCTTTAATAATAAATTCTAATATTTCTTAATCTGGTTATTTCATTTATTTAATTGCAATAATTAATTA